TAGGGGAACCCCGTCTCCGTCGAGTCCACTTTGCCGTAGTTGTGTCCAACCCCCACTAGAACCTGGACTGGAGGATGATTCAGGTGGAGACTGATGGAGGGAAGCAGCGAGGGGGGAAGAAAAGAAGCACACTTAGTAAAAGAAAGCTAAGTGTGTATCCAATTGACTAAATGACTGTACTTGTACAGCGCCAAAACCGCGCAGGAGAAAAAGACACTTAGATACTGTTTCAACCAGAGCATGCTGGGAACGGTGAAGACAAGCATGATCCACTGAGAGTAGCCAGCATCGCTTCAGATGTCTGCGGTAGTTTGTGTCCTTTGGATATTTCCTGCGGGAAATGCAGCTGTAGTAGGAAACGAACAAGCAGATACACTTGTTGGTACTGCACCACTGGTGGTGAAATAATGCATTATAAGCTAAATGTGGTCATAACCCTTTTGAAACAGGTAAACAATACAGCAGCACAAATATATATTTACGGTTTGGAGAGAATTGATCAGTGGGAAGGAGCCGGGGGATCAGGGCCACACTCAACGTCTAGAAGAAAAAACAAGACAGGCGTACAATCAAACTGCTACTGGTACCATTGGAAATGGAACAATCTGCTGGCTGCTAAAGATGGAGTGCTTCTGGGAATATCACTAGTGCTGTGATGTTGGTTTTTAAACTCAGCTCATTTTTTGCAAAATGCTTAAAAGTCAGTGGACAGCTGAAATGAGTAATCCAGATGTTTTAGACCCAAGAACTACTTATTACAAACATCTAAAAGAGGTAATCATTTGTGGCTATTTTATAGGGAAAACTGGAATACTGGAATAGACCTATGATATGACAGCGGGAAAGACTTACTGAAATAGAGATAGGGGAAGACAACAACAGTCTTTTGTCATGGCATAGCATCGTCAGCAGACGAGTTTTTTTTTTTTTTTAATGAAAGGGAGATTCGAACCGACATGATCGGCCATTCCAGTGAGCAAGTCACTTGATGATGATGATGACGATTAGTGTTTGGCCACGAGAAAAACCGGTGATAGTTTTCAATGTTTATAATTTGCAGTTTCCGGTAGCCTGCTACCAAAACAAACGCAGCGTCGGAAAGATTTCGGATTTCCGTCTCGCTTTATAATTTCTGTCATTCCCGAAATTAAGGAAAATATAATTCATATCTTGCGCTGTAGAGAATTGCAAGGTACTGTGCACAGCTAATGAAATACACGAATATTAAGTATTACTTTTATTATTACTTTTACTATTACTGATTGGTGAAGAAAAAAGTAGCCTCGCACATTTATTTTCGTCAGTTGCTCAGTTGAAAACCCAGCTGACACTCATGATATACCACATACTGAAAAAGTGTCATAATAATACAACTAGAAGGCTATCCTCCGAATAACGGGCACAAAAGATGGCGGCCCAAAAAAGAGGGCCTCAGTCACGTGTCAATTGCGCACTTCCGGCGACTGAATTTGCGGTTTTCCGCCGACTACCACCATCGCCAAGAGTCCCCCATGCCGCTCATGCGGCGTGGATTGGGGCTAAACTAGATGACTGGGACTCACAAGCAAAGCTGCAGGAGATGTGGAAGCTGCTGATCGTGGCGGTAGTCACCAGAAAACCGCAAATTAAGTCGCCGGGAGAGGGCAGTTGACAAATGACTGAGGCTCTGTTAGGGTGTATTTGCTGCCGCCATCTTTTGTGCCTGTTATTCGGAGGATAGACACGAGAATCATATGAAACTATGGGCTATCCTCCGAATAACAATACCAAATTATCGAGGCTGAAAATGTACCCTAACAGGGCCTCAGTTGTGCCCGTTATTCGGAGGATAGCCTTCTAGTTGTATTATTATAACACTTTTTCAGTATGTGGTATATCATGAGTGTCAGCTGGGTTTTCAACTGAGCAACTGACGAAAATAAATGTGCGAGGCTACTTTTTTCTTCACCAATCAGTAATAGTAAAAGTAATACTTAATATTCGTGTATTTCATTTCGTTATTTGGAGGATAGCCAAATTATGTATTCTATAATTTGAAACAACAATCTTTAGATGAACAAAATAGGTTTTGTTAAAGCTAGTGCTATTACTACTTCAGTCTGGTCCTTGTAATATTTATTTGTACATACATTAACAAGAAAAACGTCAGAAACTGGGCATGGTTAGCTTGTGAAAAACACAATCACAAATAAGGTCATAGGCGTGAGGGAAAGTTAAGGTCGTTGTTCTGTGTATAAAGATATACTCTGTACCTCGCCTCCAGCAGGCTCTGTTCTTATTGTATGGTCCTCAAGCAAGATTCCTGACACATTTCCTCATTGTGCACTGTAGAAAACGGCCTGTGTCAGCTTTATCTGAGCTAGCAGGGGATCTTGGATTTGGTGGACCCCAGAGATGCATGTACAGAAAGCCTCTGGCTATAATCATCCCCAATACACGGGTGTAAACATCCATTAAACATTTTGTTGAAACATGAGTGAAGTCAACTGGCTGAGTATCCTACAAAATTAAAAATGTTGACTCAGATATCTGCCAACCAAGAGTTCTACTCTATGGCAAGCCTTGCTTCTTATGTCTGTTGATTGAGAGTCCTACTAGTGACTACTTAGGTTCAGATGTCCCTCCAACGATTGTCCTACTATACGATAGCAGTTGTCTCTTGCCCCAAGAGCCTAATTTATGATGCTTCTTCTTCTTTGTGTTCGGTTTCGAATGCTCAGATCAGATCATCAGGTGGGTTGCCTTTATGAACTCACATGTCAGCTGCAGGTCCTGCATGGTTCCCCATAGCTTGCTCTGCACACTTTGCTCTTGAGGCCAGGTGTCTTTTCGATGTTGCAGGTAGAGTGGGCAGAATGTGCTGAGGTGTTTGGGGTCCTGTTTGACAGGCACACTGGGGGGACTGTACAATCTTTATTTTATGCATGTGGTAGTTGAGCCTGCAGTGTCCTGTTCGTAGATGGAAAATTGTTGTATGTTGCTTTCTGTTGAGTCTGCTGATAGGGTCTTGTGGATTTTTACTGTTAGTTTGTTCTCTCCACAATCCCTTGTATTTTCCTTTGATAAGTGTTCTGATTTCTGGTACTGACAATGAATAGGCGTGTTGTTTCTCCTTTGTTCCACTTTTTGCAAGTCTGTCTGCTAACTCATTTCCTGGTATGCTGCAGTGAGCCGGGATCCACTGGAGAATGATTTGATTGTTTTCTGTGAGTCTGTTTAGCTGACGGGTCAGTTCTATTTCCATGTTGTCTTGTAGATCTCTACAATCGCCTGGAGGACTGACATGCAGTCACAAAGGAAAACAATTTTGCTGTTTTTTAATTTTTCTTTCCTCAAGCACTTTGGCTGAATAAATAATTGCTTTATGATACAAGTGGTTCACATGTGTGCTACCATTGACCACACTCTTTGGAGTGTAATGACCATACGAGGAAACCCTGCATGATGAAGGCTTCCCATTAGCTGCACAACGTACCAAGAACCTCCATGTGAAAGTGCCATTGGCAAAGAGAAAAGTCTGACATACTGAGGAAGCTAGATGCCCATTCTGTGATGGTAATCAAAGTCAAGGGTCTGTGGAATACTTCCTAGTGATCGCTAATTGTTGCAGCCCATGTAGAGTGGAAGGCTCAGTTATGGATGTGCGGATAAGCAGTCATATGCAGGACATGACTAATCCTGTCAACCCTCTTGAAGAACTATTTGAAGAACTTTTTCTCTGTCCTAAACTTGTGAACATGTATTAATAATCATACATACACACACACACACGTGCGTGCATGCTTTCTCTCTCTCACACACACACGTGCGTGCATGCTTTCTCTCTCTCTCACACACACACGTGCGTGCATGCTTTCTCTCTCTCACACACACGTGCGTGCATGCTTTCTCTCTCTCACACACACACGTGCATGCATGCTTTCTCTCTCTCACACACACACACGTACGTGCATGCTTTCTCTCTCTCACACACATGTACGTGCATGCTTTCTCTCTCTCACACACACACGTGCATGCATGCTTTCTCTCTCTCTCACACACACACGTGCGTGCATGCTTTCTCTCTCTCACACACACATGTACGTGCATGCTTTCTCTCTCTCACACACACACGTGCGTGCATGCTTTCTCTCTCTCACACACACGTGCGTGCATGCTTTCTCTCTCTCACACACACGTGCGTGCATGCTTTCTCTCTCTCACACACACACGTGCGTGCATGCTTTCTTTCTCTCATACACACATGTGCGTGCATGCTTTCTCTCTCTCACACACACACGTGCGTGCATGCTTTCTCTCTCTCACACACACACGTGCGTGCATGCTTTCTCTCTCTCACACACACACGTTCGTGCATGCTTTCCTCTCTCACACACACACGTGCGTGCATGCTTTTCTCTCTCTCACACACACATGTGCGTGCATGCTTTCTCTCTCTCATACACACACGTGCGTGCATGCTTTCTCTCTCTCACACACATGCGTGCATGCTTTCTCTCTCACACACACACGTGCGTGCATGCTTTCTCTCTCTCACACACACATGTGTGTGCATGCTTTCTCTCTCTCACACACACACGTGCGTGCATGCTTTCTCTCTCTCACACACACACAAACACACCCTTTCTTGATTCCAACTTATACATTTATACAATTATAATTGCTCATTGTTTTCTCTTTCCTCAAGGCGTTGCCCTGGTGTATCTAAGAGTCAGCCTCAGAATGTGGAATATGTAGCCTGACTGGACACCAGAGCTCCAGAAAAGATGGATAAGAAGGAATTTTCCCAAGGAGATACAGAGGCGGATGGCACAGGGATCTTTTCTGACATGGCTGCTCTTAAGCAGAATGTCAGAACTATTGTTGAATCAAACAGGATACAAGATCTTCATGCTCCTCAAAAGTAAGGGACTGAATTTGAAGATTTTTCTTGATGACTTGAATAATACTCCGTTGATATTAGCATCACATCTGGGCTTAGAAAATATGATGACTTATATTGTGTTAAATGAGCCATCACTGCATGAGGAAGATATTATTGCGACTGCAACAGAAATCCTGCATAAGTTGGCTCACACAAGGGACACATCCTTTCTGGGGCATTTAAACACCCTTGTGCAGTGTTGGAATTCCCGCAACTCTGTCATACCTTACACGTTCATTGTTCAAGCTGCATTCAAGATATTAAGGGCACCACCTAAAGACCTCTTGGCTAGTTTTTGTGAGAATGCTTTGAAGGTAAGTTGTTCAGTCTTCTTATTGTAATTGTTTCACAATTCTTCTTTCTTCTCTACCTTCCTCCTCCTCCTGCTTCTTATTCTGCTTCTTCTTCTTACTCTGCTGCTGCTGCTCTTCTTCTTCTTCTTCTTCTTCTTCTTCTTCTTTCTCTTTCTCTTCTTCTTCTTCTTCTTCTTTTCTTCTTCTTTTCTTCTTCTTCTTCTTCTTCTTCTTCTTCTTCTTCTTCTTCTTCTTCTTCTTCTCTTCTCCTGCTTCTTCTTCTTCTTCTTCTCCTTCTTCTTATTCTGCTGCTGCTGCTCCTCTTCTTCTTCTTCTTCTTTTTCTCCTTAGCATTCACTGGCTGTAAACTCTGGTAGAAAGTTCTGGATGTTCTTCGACTTCTGTACTGTGGTCTTGATCCAGAACTTAAGATTTGCATACACATCGGTTTTATAGATCTGGTTTTATTTGCTGCTGCTGGTTTCTCCTTCTGTACTTTTGCTTCTTCTTCTTTTCTCCATTCTCCAGCATTCACTGGCTGTAAACTCTGGTAGAAAGTTCCGGTGGATGTTCTTCGACTTCTGTACTGTGGTCTTGATCCAGAACTTAAGATTTGCATACACATCGGTTTTATAGATCTGGTTTATTTGCATGCAGAATGTTGGTTTCTTGCCTGTCAGGAAGATGTACTCTGATTTTGAAGGAAAAAACCTTAAACAGTTGCCCAGTTGCCTACTATGACATGCTTGTTTGGGGAGGGGGGGGGGGGGGGGGGAGCAGATCTATTTCTCGTTCTCCAAAATAAAATGGAACCCGAGAACCCACACAGGAAGTTTCTCAATTCAAAGCTTGACCTCTCAGGGTTGTCTCCAGCTGCCATCTGGAGAAAAAGATCTTGTGGCTTTCAGAGAGTGCAGTCACTGGTAGTAGTATAATCCATACATCCTTTTTAGGATGAAATTTTTGGTTATTTGAAGCCCCACCCTGGCTTTTGCCAGGGGCCGCAATATAGGCAGGCCACAAATATGGCCAATTGTCTGAACGCGGTTTCTGGGACCTCTCCATGGTGATCCTCACCCACATGGTGGCACATTGTGTCATCGGGTGTTTATCGCTTGTGTGATGTCCTGTGGGGTAGAGTCAAGTCAGTCAGAGTGCAGTCACACAATGGTAGAGATGTTGACTTCATTACTTAATACCAAAGACAGCAGTGTCAATATAACTAACCTGCATTGTGGATCTGGCATATAGTTGTTGTATGTTGTTCACATAAACCTGATTTTCTTGTATATTTTTTACTCTGATTTGTCTCCTACTGTGAAGTGATTTGCAGGCAGCTGAGATATGGTTCTAGAGAAGAATGTTGTGGATACCTTGGACTGCCAGAATAACTAACAGTGATTGCCTGGAAATGGCTAATGAAAGTAGAACATTATATACAACAGTGAGAAGCAGACAAACAAAGTTCTGTCATCATATGATAAGAAAAGTAGCACTGGAAAATTTTGTGATGTCTGGAAAGATCACTGGTAGAAAGGTGTAGAGGCAGACCAAGAGATATTATGGTGGATGGCTCAAGACATGGGCATGGAGAAATATCTTCAGTGGAATTGATCCAGAACACCAAAGACCAGGATCTGCAGAGATGCATGAATGTCTACACCAGCTGGCAAGGCACTTGATGATGATGATGAAATGATTGGGGAGCTTGCGAGTCTCAGTGACCCCTAGAGCTGTACCAATGGTAGCTTAGCATTTGGTAGGGTCTGCCATTTTAGACAGGTCATGAAACAGGAAGCAGGCAAAAAGAAACACAAGCCTGCTTGCTTATGGCTGAGCCGTTTGCCTTTGTTGTTGGTTTGTTTCCTGGATGCATCATTCAGTTCATGAATACAATTTTATGGAGACCCTTAGTGATTGTTGCTGGAGCTACGGAGATTGGGATTTATGTGATGCTCTCAGCAGACAATTAATTCAATCTTCTCAACTTTGACTTTAAGACTGGCAACACATTAAAGATGTGAACAGCAAAGCTGGAAAGATCAGAGTTTCTAAGCCACAAACTTGATGAAACAGTACAGCAATAACACTTTTGTCCCATAATTATTTTTTCTAAAATTGTTTTTAAAAAAAAATATTATTAAAAAGAAAGACATTTGTATAATTCTGTGAAACGCTAATCTAAGAATGAGGAAGAAAGGACAAAGCAGAGAACTTTTGAGTCTTGGTCAGTTTGTTTAAAAGTCCAAGGCACCTGGGACCACTGAGAAGAAGGCAACCCTGCTAACTATTGCATCATTGAGGCTCCCAAGTCACTAAAAAGATAAATGTTTTATATTTAGAATCAATATTTTGCATAAAGGTTTTTTTTCTTTAAATATGAAAGGAAGTAATCACTAAATACGAACAGAGCAAAGAAATAACTGCTTTCCCTCCCTTTGACCAAGAGAACTGGGGTTTTGTTGACTTAGTCACAGAGAGCAAAGTGACTTCATCATAAGTTCATTATGACAGCAAAATCAATTTGTTTCACCCCAAATAATATCTCAAACACTTTTTTCGGCTATATATATTCATACCCAACACATCTGAACACTGTAATGATGATTTATTTTTTCTACAGATTTGTATTCAAAAGCTAACAAGCTTTTCGTATCTGGTATAAATATTTCATCGACCGGGGCTCCCAGAATGACCTGGCCTAAAATGGGGATAAACCTCACCAGATCAGCCATCGGGTTTGATCAAGACCTCTCTGCACTTCTCAGGTTCCCAGCCAGAGGTCAGAGTGCATCTGCCCAAAAGGTGAAGAATCAACGGTCTATGCAGAAATTATGCCAGATGTGTAAAATAGATATGCAACAAAAAACACTCAAATCCTGGGACAAGACTAGAGACCACATATGGTCATTACACTCCAAAGAGTATGGTCGATGGTAGCGCACATTTGAACCGTTTATATAATAAATCAGGATCTTTGAGCAAAAGACATCCGCTGTCCTAGAGTAGGACAAACGATGGATAGACATTTGAACCTAAGTAGCCACTCACTGGGACTCTAAATCAACAGACATTGAAGAAGTAAGAAATCAGTGAAAAAGGCTGGACTTTCTGCCAGAGTTCACCGCCGGTGAACGTGAAGAAGAGAAGAAATGCTTTTACTTAACTGTACAGATACTGTATGTTTTGCCAGGATAACTGTCTCATCTACCTTTTTGTTTTTGCGACACCTGCTGTGTATTGTTTACTTCCATTATCACATAAGAATTGTCCAGATGTCTTTTGTTTGCATGATTTCAGCTGATGCCGGATCTGTCTCAAGACATCTCCCTGAAGCTGGTTCTGTACGAAGAGACAGAGTGCTACTGGAAGATCCTTCACGAGGGCATGCATCTCAACGACTTGTGGCCCATCAACTGCGAGGAGAACCGCTACTCAAAATACTACACCACCCACAGCCTGTTCAACATATACTTCAACTACAGCTGTTTGTTTACCATTCACACAAGTGGCCGAAACAAGATAACAAAGATCACCATACAGGTAAATCTCACCTTTGAACATGATAACAAAGATCACCATACGGGTAAATCTCACCTTTAAACAAGATATGTAAGATCAACATATACAGGTAAATCTCACCTTTAAAGAATATACATAAGTTCATCATACAGTTTAAACATGATAACTAAGATCACAATACAGGCAAATCTTACCATTAAACAAGATAAGTAAGATAAACATACAGGCAAATCTCATCTTAAATAAGATAACTAAGATCACAATACAGGCAAATGTCTCCTTTAAGGACATCAGGTGATCAGCATACAGATAAATTCACATATTTGCAAACATAATATCTAAGCATATACATAATATATAAGTACAGGAGTAGACTGAACAGAGACGTATAGAGCATACACATGAAATATTGTGAGACTTTGAACAACGGATCAACATCACAGCACACGGGTAGTAATCCATAAGTACTCCGTTCTTCTTCTAACTCAAGTCTGAGTCCAGAGAAGCTCAACGCAGTGCACAGGCTCTGTAGCACCAGCAAGGATGCTGAAATACTTTAGGTAGATTTTTAACTCCAAATTTTACCCGGGCAGCGCTGTTAGGCTACTCTTTTCGATTTCCAACTGTCAAGAGATTTTTTACATGCGCAACAATGCACACGGGCATCCAGCCTTACTATCCAATGACCAGGGGGAATTACTAGAAGTCCAAGTCCACGTGAAAAAAATCCCAGCACTTACCAGGGATTGAACCTAGAACCTCTATCACTTGAGGCAGATACCATGACTCAAGACCACGGAGATCCTTGAAATATTGTGAGAAAAGCCCTCTACTTCTCCCCAAGTGGTAACTTACCTCGGAGCATTAAAGAAAACAGCTGTCTCTTCCTAGACAGCTCTATCATTCCTGTACTGTAGGTCCATATAGTGTCCCTTCCTAGACAACTCTATCATTCCTGTACTGTAGGTCCATATAGTGTCCCTTCCTAGACGGCTCTATCATTCTTGTACTGTAGGTCCATATAGTGTCCCTTCCTAGACAACTCTATCATTCCTGTACTGTAGGTCCGTGTAGTTAATTCATTATATATCTTGTTCAATGCTTCCCCTGGTAACTCATCACAGCGCCATTCTCCTCAAACAGAAATGATCCATCTGTGCCTCCGTACTGTTCACTCGCTCCAGAGTGCTCTCACAATATCTAGCTTGCCATAGATCACTTCACCACCAAGTGGTGCACAGCCGGCCAATCCACCTGACTGCTCATTTCCCAACACACCAGCATCAGCGGAAGTGAACAACCAGAACTTTATGCTGACGTTTACAGCCGGTGAACATAAAGAAGGAGAATATACCCAGTACCCTCAAGGCCAGAAACTGGTCCTTCAGCTTTCTATATTTTCTTAATGTTTTTTTTTCTGTATTTCTGCCCGTAATTAAGGTGGTGTAGGACATGGTGTTTGTCAGCTTGTGGATTTGGTAATGTTTGGCAAGTACGGTTGCTATGAAATATGCAGGGCAGGATTTTTATTTTTATCCCTTGACAGAAAAAAAAAATCTCCCATCCCTTCGCAAGGATTGAACCTGGGTCTCTCATATAAACCAGCCGCTCGTGTATTATCATCATCATGTTGTTCATCCATCATGAGTGATGAAGACCACTTTCATCCAAAGTAGTAATGATCAATGATTATGAGTACGAAAGTGGCTGATTAGTCCAATATGAGCCTGGAAAGTTCTTGAGCAGTGCGGACAACAGATGGAAGCCGCAGTAGATGTGGGATTAGCAGTACGATTCTATCTAGTTTGCCTTCGTTTCTCTGCCTGTGCAACCTCCGCTGTCTGGCAGGCCGATGCACCATCAAATACCTTTCTGGAAAGTTCTTGAGCAGTGCGGACAACAGATGGAAGCCGCAGTAGATGTGGGATTAGCAGTACGATTCTATCTAGTTTGCCTTCGTTTCTCTGCCTGTGCAACCTCCGCTGTCTGGCAGGCCGATGCACCATCAAATACCTTTCTGGTCGGCACAACCTTCAATCTCCACCAGCATATATCAGTGCATGACACTCCTTATATTGTCAAGAATCTTCATGTGTTGTTTCTTCTGTATCTCTTTTCATAAATCTTTCCAGTGGTCACAGTTTGTTCTAGTTTCCCTTTGTATTCTTGCTAACAAATGTTGAGTTGAATCAAGAAGTTACATCACAGCACTGGGGACATTCCCATGTGTGCTCCGTCCTCATCTTCAGCAGCCAGTGCAGAGTTCCAATACTGATGGTAACGGTCACAATCTGGTTATATGTCGGTCTTGCCTTTCCTCTGAGTGTAGTGAGCCGGCCATACTCTCTGGTTACACCCAGGTGCTGCATTCTCTCCAGGCCATAATAATCTTGTTTCTCTACTGATTGTGTTGCTTGTTCCCAAAGGGCCTTGACCACATCTGCCCTGTCATGTATCAATTCACCACCCAGTGGTTCAGATCCAGCCAATATGCCTGCCTGTTCGTTACCCACTACGCCGGCATGGCCTGGAGAAAAGATTCAAAGTATGCTCACTACCCGTGACCTTCCCAGTGAAGCTTCCCACTCTGCTTGAAGCATGCCTGTTTGCTAACCAATGTATTACTATGTACATTATCAGACTCTTGTTTCCTAGGCTGCTAATGGCCCGGCGTCACCATCAGTGCTGTACGTCATTCAGAACTTCCCGACAGATTTATACGATGATGTGTTCAAATACCTGATCCTCGCTGGCTTCAAAATGCCCCCTGCTGACATCCAGAGAATGGCCAACGTGGAGATTGACAAAGCTGCCGAACTCATCCGATGGTACAAACAGTTTTACAGCCAGCCCCACAAACTGAAGCATCTGTGCAGGCTGTGTGTTCGACAGAACCTCCAATACAATGTGATATACAGCCTCCGACAGCTGCTGCTGCCTCAGGATCTGTACCAGTACTTGTTGCTGGGCGATGTCTGTGATTATGAATATGTGTAATTGATAAAAAAGTTAAGGTTATGTATATGTGGATTATGTGTGGTGAAATCTGTGATTATGAATATGTGTAACTTATAACTGGAGATAAGGTTATATATATATTTGGAGTGTGGCAATATCTGTAATGTCTCACTGATAACTGAAAATTATATATGTGGAATGTGATGATATCTGTGATTATCAGCGTGTGTAACTGAAGATTCTATGTTGAGTGTGACCATATCTGTGATTAAGAATCTGTGTAACTGATAACTGAAGACTATATGTGGAATGTGACAATATCTGTGATTGTGAATATGTGTCATTGATAACTGAAGACAAGTTTACATATGGAATATGACAGTATCTGTGATTAAGACTAAGTGTGATACATAATATTATCTGCAATTATAATTATATGTAATTGACAATTATATGTAATATGTGGTGATATATGTGATTATGGATGTGTAAAACTAAAGATTATATGTGATATATAGTGATATCTGTGGTTGTGCATATATGTAACTGAAGACTATGTATAGCTCCTAGTAGTGTATATAACTATGGATATGTATAACTAAAGATTATATTTTGAATATGGTGATTATGTGATTATGAAAGCATATAACTTTCCCTTATGGGATCCGGGGGAAAAACAGTGGTTATGAATACGTATTTCTGAAACACACCTTGTTAAGAGATGTTGGGGCTGTTCTCTATTGCACCCCCTCTTCTCATACTGAATCCAGAACCCATATAAAGGTGGTGATAATGATATCTGGGTTTATGAATCTCATTCATTTCGCTCCTGCTCTCATGATTCCACGTTATCTCTCCCCCTTCCCCTTTATACAGCACAGACCACTTCAGATGATCTCTGATGTGGCATATTTCTGTTGTAAAGAACAATTTGTTTACCCATTTTGCACTTTTTTTTTTGCTCCAACTCTTTTTGGATAAAAGAAATTTCTGATAAGAAGAACTGTTTTTTGGGTTCCTGGTGAGTTCTTCTTATCAGGTCTGCACTGTATTGTCATTCAGTATAAGGTTCGAAAAGGCATCTGGTGACAACTTCATTCATGGTGGTATTCTTAGCTTGGGATATTCTATCATGACAGTTTAAGTTAAGAGGATAAATTAACTTCATTGCATCGGGTTATCTCATAGATCTCTCTCTCCGCCAAAATGACTAGCTGCCTGCCAAGAGTGTCACTCAAAGCATGAACTCTTTAGCTCCAGCAATGATCCTCAGAGATCTCCGTAAAAACTGCACTCTTGAACTTGGTAACATATCCATGGAAAGAACCTACAACCTTCAGAGCACCAGGCAAATGGCTTGACCACTTCTTAACGACTCATTTTCTCATTCGTTGGTAAATTATCTCATTACTTAAAAATGAGGACAACTACTAAACATAAATTATGGGTGAGAGTCCAGATGGATGTTATGGATTCCTAATTATAATGTATGCGTGAAAAGGTCAAGTGCAGGATGCCAACTCGAGGCAAACCTGCAAGTTGGCCGAAGCATGCCAGATGAGGAAAGCATGAGTAGAGTATTGAGCGCACAAGAATTGAGAAGAGATTATTTAAGCTTTGAACAAATGAGAGCGTTCAGTCTTCACTTTCGATTCAGTGAGAACTGGGCCTTATGGCGCTTGAAATGATTGAAGTGAATGTGTTCTGAGATCATATGAATGTGATCAAACCGCCAGTCTGAGTCACCTAAAAATCTGGCTAATTAATCCGTGACTGTTTGAAATGAAGGACAGAATGTTTGTAACAGTGTATGGTTTATGAGTGCTATTTTTCACCAGTTCTGAAGTGCAGTTTACAGATGTGCAGAACAGCAGAGATATCCAGATATGATGACAGCACATTGACTCTTCTTTGCTATAGCGATTATCATAGAAAACAAACATCTGGCTCATTGACTGAGAACATCATTGAAGCAATAAACGTACATTTGTCAACGGCTTAGTGTTTATGACATTTTTTCTTATTCAAGCATAGCTGTGTTCAAGTCTTTGTATATGTCTGGAAAGACTAAGATTAGAGCCTGAAGGATTCATTGCAATTTTGCCATTAAAACCCCATGACAAACATCATCATTATCATTCTTTTTCTAAACAACTCATATATGATGTTGCTTTTAAGGCTAAAGTTAAAGACAAGACATCTGGTGAGAGCTTTGAAAGTATAGTTTGTTCATTTATTCATGGTGGTATTCTTAGCTGCTAATATTCCATTGTTGCTTTTAAGTCTAAAGTTAAAGACAAGATATCTCATGGGAGCTTTGAAAGTATAGTTTATTCATTTATTCATGGTGCTAAAATTCCATTGTTGCTTTTAAAGTCTAAAGTTAAAGATATCTGGTGAGAGCTTTGAAAGTATAGTTTCATCATTTATTCATGATGGTATGCTTAGCTGCTAATATTCCATTGTTGCTTTTAAGTCTAAAGTTAAAGACAAGATATCTCATGGGAGCTTTGAAAGTATAGTTTATTCATTTATTCATGGTGCTAAAATTCCATTGTTGCTTTTAAGTCTAAAGTTAAAGATATCTGGTGAGAGCTTTGAAAGTATAGTTTGTTCATTTATTCATGATGGTATTCTTAGCTGCTAATATTCCATTGTTGCTTTTAAGTCTAAAGTTAAAGACAAGATATCTGGTGAGAGCTTTGAAAGTATAGTTTGTTCATTTATTCATGATGGTATTCTTAGCTGCTAATATTCCATTGTTGCTTTTAAGTCTAAAGTTAAAGACAAGATATCTGGTGAGAGCTTTGAAAGTATAGTTTGTTCATTTATTCATGATGGTATTCTTAGCTGCTAATATTCCATTGTTGCTTTTAAGCCTAAAGTTAAAGACAAGATATCTCATGGGAGCATTGAAAGTATAGTTTGTTTATTTATTCATGATGGTATTCTTAGCTGGTACTATTCCATTGTTTCATCATTTTCTGAGGTGTGCTCCAACTATCTTGTCAGACACCAGTTACTGTACTCCCAGAGGGCCTTTCTAGGATCCAGCTTGTCAGACACCAGTTCACTGTCTCCCAGAGGGCCCTCACTACATCCAGCTTGTCAGACACCAGTTTCACTGTCTCCCAGAGGGCCCTCACAAAATCCAGCTTGTCAGACACCAGTTCACTGTCTCCCAGAGGGCCCTCGCACTGCCATTTGTCAGACCCAGTTCACTGTCTCCCATCTGGCCCTGTCCTTGGCACCAGTTCACTGTCTCCCAGAGGGCCCTCAAAACATCCAGCTTGTCATACATCAGTTCACTGTCTCCCAGAGGGCCCTCACTACATCCAGCTTGTCAGACACCAGTTCACTGTCTCCCAGAGGGCCCTCACAACATCCAGCTTGTCAGACACCAGTTCACTGTCTCCCAGAGGGCCCTCACAACATCCAACTTGTCAGACACCAGTTCACTGTCAGACCCTCAGTTCCACTTGTCAGACATCAGTTCATTGTCTCCCAGAGGGCCCTCACAACATCCAACTTGTCAGACACCAGTTCACTGTCTCCCAGAGGGCCCTCACAACATCCAACTTGTCAGACATCAGTTTACCACCAAGTGGTGCAGAACCAGCCAGTTTATCTGCCTGCTCATTTTTAATAAGGATAGAATTGGCACTATTAACATGTCAAATCTTTGTTCAGAGTGCAATGATGTCAAGCTAGATGCTGCAGAAGGCTCAGAACAATCTTATATTCAAGCAGATTTATTTGAAATCCTTAGAAACAACAGCTAAACATATATGTATTTGAATAAAAAGAACAACAGAGATTAAATGCCTTAGAAGAGCTGCAGGAGTTTCAAGGAAAGAAAGAATATGAAATCACAAAATCAGATGAATGCTAGAAAAAAAGCCAGTCTTACAGGTCATCAAAGATTAAGAAATTAAGTGGTTTGGACACCTAACAAGAATGCCCTGGTACTATCTGCCACAGCGAGCCACACTAAAACGTTACAATGGGTATAGAGCGAGTGGAAGATCTTGGAAAATATGGAGTGATGGCATTAAGAACAGCCTTACAGAAATTAACATCAGTCTTAATAGTGCTTTTGCCAGAGCCCATCAACGAACATTACATCTCCCCCGACACTTCGATGAGGTACAAGGTGGAAGAGAAGAAAAAGAAAAATAAGGCACAATGCTTTGCATTTTTTTAAAATTTGTCTGCTTATGCCATTGTGGACTGCCATAATAACTAACAATGATTGCCTGGAAATGGCTAATGAAAGTTATATACAACAATCAGAAGTTCTTTGGTTATGTGATGAGAAAAGGAGCACTGGGAAATATTGTGACAACAGGAAAGATCGCTGGTAGAAGAGGCAGAGTAAGATCAATAGAAATTGTGGGTGGCTTAAGACATTGGCATGGAGGAATATGATCAGTGGAACTGATCCAGAACACCAAAATCTGTGGAGATGTATGAATGCCTACGTCAGCTGGCAAGGAACTTGATGATAATGACAATATTTTACCCTATCTCTTCAGGTGTATCACTACTGAGTTCACATTAACATACGATGGAGAATTAAACATGAATTCTGTTAGCTGAAATATTAGATCACATGAATGTTGAATTAAGAAACAACATCATAGCACTCGTGACACACCCATACACTTTCCATCCCCCATCTTCAGCAGCAAATGAAGAGTTCCAGTTCCAGTGGTAACTGTTTGATTGTACATATGCCCCACCCTTAACTTGAGTGTTGAACGTCGGCCAGATCCCCTGGCCTTTCCCCTCAACGCCATTCTCCTCAGACCGTAATGATCTATGTGTGCCTCCGCACTGTTCACTCGTGCTCAAAGACCCTCACAACATCTAGCTTGTCATACATCAGTTCACCACCAAGTGGTGCAGAACCAGTCAGTCTTTCTGCCTGCTCATTTCCCAACACACCAGCATACCTGGAGAAAATATCCAAAGGACAGTAACTACTTAGGACCTCTGATACAGATCATATGTTAACCTACTTGTCTGGAGAAAGCCGTTTTTCTGGGTTTTGTTTGACATGATGTCTTGACACAGTGCCCATTAGTGTGTATGACAGCTCTGCTACTGGCTGCGGCAGTGTAACATTGGTTCTATCTATATAGCCCCACCAAGTCTGCTGTGCTGTGTAGTCTGTTACTTTTCTCTTGTATATGTTCATGTGATAGGAGTGCTATATCATCTGCAAAATCAAGGTCCTCAATTATGGTGAATGGAGTCCATCGTATGCCTCTTGTTGTCTTGTCTTCTTTAGTATCCAATCAATCACAAGGTTGAAGAGGAGGGATGACAAAACACATCCCTGTCTTACACCTGTCTTTACTGGGAAAGATGTAAATTTTTTTTTTAACTGCAGGAAATCTTTATAGAAAGCAATTATGTTGACTACCTTTTCTGGAATTCCATACTGTGGTAATATTTTCTATGGACGCTGTCAAAAGCTTTCTCTCTCTCTCTCTTTTTTAAAATACCTAGATCATAAATAATTGTTTAAAATGTTTATCGATATTTTTATTACTTTTTTTTTTTTTAAACAAAGGGAAGTTAATAAGTAGGCCACAAATGGTTGAGGGGAAAAAAAACCACCTGTTTATTTTTACATAAACGCTGTTAATTTATTTTTCAACATAATTTCCACCAAACACTGATGAACATGTCCTACCATTTTATCAGTTCTCCCACACTTGTTGCATAGAACTGCATGCTCTGTAGGCTAATAAATCACATTTTCAATTCACATCCAACTTCTGCATCATTCACAAAATGTCTCCCACCAAAGTCAGTTTCCTGTAGACCAAAAAGGTGGAAATCTCTAGAAGCTAAGTCGGAGCTGTAAGGTGGATGTTCCAGAAGTTCCCACCCTAGATGGTTTACTTTCTCCCGAATAACTGTGCCCTATGTGTCTGGTATTGTCATTTTGTGTTCATCCGTCAATTGTCTGGGTACCCTCCTTGAGCACTTTCTTAAATTTCAATCCATTATTCATTATGTTGTATGCTGAGCCATGTCAGCACCCTAATGCAGCTGCTACAGAGTCAGCCGTTACTCGCCTATCACCTCTAATCATCTCCTCCATTCGCTGCAATCTCAATAGGAAAACCAGATTGGACTCTATCAACAATCATAGAGTGTCCCCGAGAAATTGTTTTTTACAGAGCTACGCACTGCTTTACGGGATAACATTTGTCAGCAAAAACAGGAGCACTTCCTTATAAATTTCCTCTGCAAGCAGCCATTTTGCTCCCCCAAAAACGCACAACAGCACGTTGTTCTTTGAGGGTACACTCCGTAACTACTGTTGTCATTTTGTTTCTGTGTTGCAAAAGCTCATGCGATACCTAGCCCCACCTAAAGAAAAGGAATGATAAAGTTCGATATTGCTGTCACCTAATAACACCTTTAGAAACCACTCCATAACAATTGATGAATTACTTATTGAATTCCCCTTGTAAATAAAGATAAATGAAGGGAGTGACCAATACACTAAACATGAAAGGGGTGGAGCATTCAACTGAATACATTCCTTGGGGGCTAAAAAAACCACACACACATGTATCAGGTGATTCATGCCGTGACCCTGTGACCTTTACCACTGAGGCTTATGAGAAAATCTTACATTATTTTAGCTTTAAAAAACAATTTGTTAAAAAAAAATAGAAAACCACTCTAAATCAATTTGTTAGTTAATTCATATCCTGACCTCCTAAATGTTTGTGCAGGCATGAACTCAGCCAATTGCTTTAACTATACATCTCCTAAACAGGTCACAACAGGCAAGTAGGAAACATGACTTTTATTAGGAGCTTGACCCAACCTGAAGTTTCAGTTTTTTAACTTCTTGGGGCAAAAAGGTTAACAATGCAGCTGGCTGCAGATCTACTGAGGACATGAGCAGAAAAATAGTACGCCACCATTAACAAAGCGAACACATCTTTTCTCTCTTTCTTCCAGAGTCACAGCTGCTACCAAGGTCAATTTTACTAAAGGAAGACAACTTTCCTACTTATTTTGGAGAGGCATTTGATAGAAGACTCACATGGAACAAACCTAGAAATGCAGAAGAAAAGATCTAGAGACATTTAAAGGTGCTTTGAAATCTGGCAGGTATAAGTTGAGGAGCAATTTAAGAAAAGACACTAAAGAAAGCTTATAACAGAGCAGTTTAGAACCCATTAGAAGTTTGTGGCAACAGCCTGGTGGCCATCAGCTGGTACTAACTTCTGTCTAGTCATAGACAAAAGGCAGAATCAAGCCTTCGGACTCATGGGATTCATGAAAACTAATTTACCATAGTGTTGACCAATGCCACATAACGTGTGTGTTAGCAATGGCAGGTTCTAAACAGATAGCTGCATTGAACGTACTGAGCCATGACATGAGCTTTACCTATATGCTGGGACAGGGACAGTTTTGAGGAAGGGAGCTAGCCATCTCAACTCTTTTACAGCGTAAATTGTAACATCATCAGAATAACCCATCTCTGCCAGCCATAGAGTTCTCTATTTTAAATAATCATTCATTGCCCAGCTTTACTGCGGAAAACACAGGTGAGGAGTTTTGTATGGATTTTTTCACCCAGATATGCCAGTGTGTTGGGAAATGAACAGGCGGACAAACTGGCTGGCTCTGCACAACTTGGTGGAATACTGATGCATGATAAGGCTGACGCAGTTAGTACCTTGTGGGACAGCGCGTTCAGTTCAGGGGAGCAGATGGATAACTAGTCTGATGAGACTGATGCAGTAGTGAGTGACGAGAGGTTCTGGCAGATGCCTGAGGCTCAGAGAAAAGGCAGGACGGAAGTTTAATCAGAATGCTAATGGCACCATTAGTATTGGAACTCTTCACTGGCTGCTGAGGATGGGGACGGAGTGCTTAGGGAAATGCCCCAAGTGCTGTGATGTCAGTTCTTGAATCATCGGGGGGAGATGTAACATTTGTTGATGAGCTCTGTCAAGAGCACTATTGAGACTGATGTTCATTTCTGTAAGGCTGTTCTTAATGCCATCACTCCATATTTTCCAAGGTCTTCCACTCGCTCTATACCCGTTGTAACGTTTTAGTGTGGCTCGCTGTGGCGGATAGTACCAGGGCATTCTTGTTAGGTGTCTAAACTACTTCATTTGTTGTTCTTTGATGACCTATAAGACTGGCTTTATTCCTAGCATTCGTCTGATTTCATGATTTCGTATTGTCTTTCCTTGAAACTCCTGCAGCTCTTCTAAGGCATTTCATCTGTTGTCACAATTTTACGTTCATTGGAGGATGTAAGTGTCCACGTTTGGCACTGATAGCATAGTGTTGGCCAAAAAATAGTTCTGATAAGATTCACTTTAGTACTCCGAGGTATCTGCTTGTGTGTTAACAGGGAAGATAGTTGCCCCATTACTTGATTAGCTTTGGCACATCTGGAGCTAATTTCTCTGTCCAGTTTTCCGTCAGATGTAAAAATTGCTCCCAAATACTTAAATTCCTCTGTTTGTCTCAGGGTGCTGTTTTTTTTTCAATTAAATTTATAAATTGTCTTTATGTCTTCTTATCATCATTGTCTCTGTCTTCGTAGTGTTTTTTTTTCATATTATATTCCTCCCCTTTGTTACTAATTTGATTTAGGTGGTTCTGTAGGCATTCTGTATTTTCTGCTATGAGTACCTGGTCGTCGGCGAAAAGTAATTCTGTAATATCTTCTTCATGATTAAAGTTCATTTCGCTACATATGGTATCCCTGACGCACACCAGAGTTCACTATAAAAGTTCTTGACAACCCTGACTTCAATCTAATGCAGCATTTACTACGTGTGTACAGGCTTTTGCAAATATTAATGAGATGATTGCTGATTCCTTTTTTTCCCCAAACATTCCAACAACATATTCCTGTCACTCTATCAAAGGCTTTTTTTGGTCTTTGAATGTCAACAAACATGTCTTATCATGTTCTATTGCCCTCTCTGATAGTTGTCTCAATGTATAAATGGCATCTGTGCAACTTCTGTTTCGTCAAAAGCCCATCTGTGCTTCTGAAAGTTGATACTCTATCAATGGTTTCAGCCTTTTTTCAATGATCTTAGCATACTTTTTCCCAGTGTGACTGAGAAGTGATATTCCTCTGTAATTAGTACATTCCCTCTTACTTCCTTTATTTTTTCACAGCGGGACAATGACAGCAGTCTGCCAATCTGACGGTGTTTCTTGATTTCCACATGCCACCTGAAATATTCTCTTTAACCACATTGCTCCGGTTTCTCCTGCTGCCTTGATGGCCTCAGCAGGTAGATCATCAATACCTGTCGCCTTTAGTCTAGGGGCAGTTCGAATTACACATTTTACTTCATCCAATAATATACCTGGTTCTAGTTCCTCTGCTGTTAGTTCCGAGTTGCTTTTATGTTCTTCCCTGCTTTTATCTGTTTTATTGCAGCTAAGTAATGTTGAATTATTAACCAATATAAACACTTGGCATAATAACATAAGCACTCAGTCTCCATTTTTAGCAGCTAGTGCAGAGTTCCAAACTGACAGTATGTCTGTCTTTCCTTTCTGAGTGTAGAGTGTCAGCCTTAGTAACTCCTCACTGTACTACCCTCTACAGACTGGTATATATGTGCCTTCACACCGTTCACTAGTTCCAAAGAGATTTGATAACATCTATCTTGTCAAGCACCAGTTTAACATCACATGGTGCAGGACTTACCAATTTGTTTGCCTGTTTATTTCCTAACACATCTGCGTAACTGGAGGCAATAGAACTCAAACTACACAGTACCTCTTTCATTGCCCGTATCTTAAACGATATCATTAAAAAAATTAACATAAAAACCACACTTATTATTATTTTATTTGGAATATCAAATACACAATGTCAAATACTATACTTCGTAGTAAACATAATATATTTCTTGGTATTTTTAAAACAGATGGCCTCCTTATAATTATTCAAAACCATTAGGCTGACTTGAAGTAGTCATCTTTTTCGAGAGGCCCCACAATGTGACCCAGCTTCAGAACTATCTCAGGTTTAGTGAGCAGTTTGTGAGCTGTTTCTCGGACGAAACCACGAGAGATCGGCTGCCGAACAGATGCTTCATACTGCTGCAGTGATGTATATGGGAACGGAAGAGTCTTGGGCTGAAAGTAGAGAACAAATGCAAAATGTGTTTGTCAGAAGTAGAAATAGTGGAATACAATAGCAGTCGCAATCTGCAATTTAGCGATTATGGACATCGTTTTGTAATTTTAACATACTGGGGCTGGAAGTCCGTTGCAGATGATCTGGCGGAGGCTCCTGCATTGATTTCTACAAAGATGAGCATCAAATTTAGAAAGCAGTGGCAAACTACCATTAAACATTAAATTGTCTAGTGAAGCTACAAACTGCCAACAAATGCTGGAGTTTGTGACCTCCTCTAACTATCCTTTCTTTTTATTGTTTTGTGCGTGTGGGGGTTGCCTTGAAAACTAATAATTTGCAGGGCTTTTTGTTTTTAAAGCAGCGTGCATATGCACACCAGACAGTGCACAGTGTCAGCACCTTTAAAAACAAAATACCATATTTTTTTTAAAGACTGATGGTTAGACTGCATACAAGCACTTTGTTTTTTAAGGAAAAACCCTGATGATATGGTAGATACTAGAGGTTTAAAAACCCACCTGCATATAACAGCTGTACTAGTAATGTGTAATCATCCGTCAGTCAATTAAAAAGGTGTAATCTGCAGTGTAGACTGGCTGCAGTGAATCTCCAACACACTATTGTGAAATGCCCAATCACTCTTTTTCTTATTTCGCCACACTGAGTTGGCATTTTCTGCACACTTTTACTTCAACTGTTTTTGTGCGCTGTGTTGTATGCATTTATTGTTGCCTAACCTCTGCAAGATACACACTGGCAAGGTAACAGCAAAGTTTTAACGTCTAAACAAAATATGCAGCTCTAAATCATACAGTTTAAAATCAAATTATGTATTTTAATTATACTGAAGTCTTAACATATGCCAGTGGAAAAAGTTGGAAAACCATTAAAGACTTGAAACAAAAAGTGTAAATTCTTGAGAGAAACAATGTTGAAAAGGAAAAATTCAAAGACATATCTGAACAACTCTGATTAAGACAAAAAAGATAGCAATATATTGGGCACATTATAAGGAGCGGATAAAGAATCACCAGTCACTGAAGCGGGTTTGAGAGTGGGGGATGGATTGAGGTAATGATAGTATCTCTCCCCCTTATTTTGAAGAGGGATCAAGTTGGTCATGTGAAGGTTCAACTCCTGGTGTAATTTTCAAATCTATTGTGTTTTCCCGTCTATACTCCGTTTTATAAGTGCCAATCAGTACCTATTAGTTTATCATACTGTTGGTAATCATGTCTGTCCAGAGCTCTCCGTCTTGTGTACTGTCAAACATTTCTCACCAAAGTTTTGCATTGCATCATGCCCCTCTGTCAAACGCAAAGAAGATCAAAATTGCAATTTGCCATCGAGCTTTGAACTCCAGGCTGTGTCATGGACACTGTGCGCCAGCAAGGCTCACATGATCAACATCTCCTATTTCATGCAGAAGTGAGCTGGTTACAGAGGATTTATGAATCAATGTCTTTTCAAATGAAGGAGGGAGTAAAGCAGTTCTTGATAGAGCACAAATCTGACTTACTAGGGCCGTTGTTGATTGACGAATGGATGGCTAAGATATATATATCTTGTGGACCTGTTTAGCTTCCTTAATAACCTTAACATTTCCCTAAAACTAGAAATTGGCTCTTTGGGATAGTCGCGTACAAGAGGAAGATCTAGAAATGTTTCCACTCTTAGGGTTTGTCATTTTCCCCACGACTTCAACAAGAAAGTAATATTCAACATTATTAGTCAGCACTACAAGGCATTAGCTGAAAACTGATAATTATACCCCTGAAAATTAGGTTCCTTGTAAAGGCAACCTCTGGATTAATAAACTCTTCTTGGAGCATATAAGATTGTATATATTTTTTCTTCTTCACTTCCTCTTTTACTGCTGTGGGTGCCGAGGGAGATATAAGGTTCTGTCTCTAGCTCTTCTGGCCGCCTTGACCATAGGCACATAGTGCTGTTGTAGAGTTTCTCTGATGTTATTCTTCCATCTTGTTCTTGGTCTACCTCGTGCTCCACGTCCTTCTTATCTTTCCATGTATGCTTTGTATGGTATGGTGTCACAAGGCATTCTCTCTAAGTGGGCAAACCATTTCACCTGCTGTCTTCGTATGTAATTTAGAATTGGTTCTGTGCCGACTTTTTCTCTTATGATCTCATTCCTGATCTTATCTCTTATGGTCACTCCTACAGCCCTTCTCAGACATCTCATCTCCATGGTTACTAATTTTCTTTTATGGTTTGTTGTGAGTGACCATGTTTGGCACTAGTAGCACAGAGTTGGAATAAATATGCTTTGAATAAGATATCTCTTTGTGCTGATTGGGATTGTCTAATGCTGTAAGAGGGGAGCTAGCTGTCCCAATATTTGGTTTGCTTTACTGCATCTAATGTTAATTTCTTTATCCAATTTTCCATCTTCGGTAAATGTAGTTCCCAGATATTTAAACTCAGATGCCTGTTTAATGCCTTTGCACTCTATTGCTATGTTTAGATCTGTCTTCTTTTTTCCTGTTGACATTACTTCTGTCTTTTCAGTGTTGATTCTCATATTATTTGTTTTACATTCTTCATTTATAGTTGTTAGATGTTGTTGCAATTTCATGGCTGTATCTGCTATCAAGGCCTGGTCATCTGCAAAGAGTAATTCGTTGATCTTACAAACATTTTCATTCAAGGGCTTGGCATTCTTGCATATACTGTCGATGTAGGTGATAAACAGCAGTGGTGATAAGACACACCCCTGTATATCACCATAAAAAGAAAAAGAGTACTGAACTGTCTTCTGATGTCACTCTTGTGTCCAGGTAGAAAATGCAACCATTGTCTGGGTTTTAAATAATGCTGAAAAATAATATCCGCTTTGAGTTATAGATTATAGACATCAGATGTTGGTCATTTCTTCCACTTTCTATTTGTCATGTCAGAAATAACAACCAAAAGAAAAAAATCAAATGAATGTTATTGCAGCAGCTCATCTATCAGAAACAAAATTCTAGGCAGGCACTCCAGATTTTCTAACCTCTAAGCGGCAGCAGATGTCTCATCAAATAAAAAATGTAATTTTGTGACAATCAAATTATTAATTAATAAATGAACTGCCAAGTACATTTGCTTTAGTTTCTATATTTGGTTCCCTGTCAGGTGCGAAGTGAAACCATCTCCCTGTTTTTGCTGGGCCATGGGTGTAAAAAGGCTGAGGAACACTGGTTTAAATGATATGATGAGAATACTTCAATACACAATGAAACTGGGTCAATGACACAACAGAATATTTCATATACATGACAAGAATGTTTAAATAACATGACAGGAATGTTTCAATGGCAATGAGAATATTTCAGTGGCAATGAAAATGTTTCAAAGACATGAGAAAAGTGTTTAATGGGATGGGGTCAATGACATCATAATTGTTCATGACATGACAAGAATGATTTCATGACATGACAAGAATGATCCATGACGTGAAAAGAAAGATTTCATGACGTGAAAAGAAAGATTTCATGACGTGGAAAAAATGATTTAATGACATGAAAAGAAAGATTTCATGACATGAAAAAAATGATTTCATGACGTGAAAAGAATGATTTCATGACGTGAAAAGAATGATTTCATGACGTGAAAAGAATGATTTCATGACGTGAAAAGAATGATTTCATGACGTGAAAAAAAAAAGATTTCATGACATGAAAAGAATGATTTCATGACGTGAAAAAAAATGATTTAATGACATGAAAAGAAAGATTTCATGACATGAAAAAAAAAAATGATTTCATGACATGAAAAAAAAGGTTTCATGACATGAAAAGAATGATTTCATGACATGAAAAAAAGATTTCATGACATGAAAAGAATGATTTCATGACATGAAAAGAATGATTTCATGACATGAAAAAAAAGATTTCATGACATGAAAAGAATGATTTCATGACATGAAAAAAAAGATTTCATGACATGAAAAGAATGATTTCATGACATGAAAAAAAGATTTCATGACATGAAAAGAATGATTTCATGACATGAAAAGAATGATTTCATGATGTGAAAAAATGATTTCATGATATGAAAAGAATGATTTCATGACATAAAAAGAGTGCCTTAATAACAATAATCCTACCTGTAGCTTTCTTATCGACATATCCCTGTTTGGATTCAGCCACACATTATCCTGTTGGGTTCTCTGTCTGTGTGATGTAATAGTTCTGAGGATATATTTATATGTATATTGTGGTTTAGGCATGTTGAATGTTAAAATAAGAATCGACATCACAGCACTCTGGACCCTCCCATAAGCGCTCTGTCCCCATCTTCACCAGCAAGCAAAGAATTCCAGTTCCGATGGTACCAGTAACTGTCTGATTGTATATCCATCTCGCCTTTCCCCTGAGTGTCGAGCATCAGCCAGATCCCCTTGTAACTCCTCACAGTGCAATTCTCCTCATACTGTAATGATCTATCTGTTCCTCTGCACTGTTCACTTGCTCCCAAAGGGCCCTCACAACATCCAACCTGTCATACATCAGTTCACGACCAAGTGGTGCAGAACGGGTCAGTCTATCTGCCTGCTTATTTCCCAACAAACTGGCAAGACCTGGAGAAAATATCCAAAGGATGCTAACTACCCGGGACCTCTGAAGTGATGCTTGCCACCCTGCACGGAGCATGCCTGTCTCCACCTTTCTCAGCATGCTCATTAAGTCAGTTACAATAACGACATGTGTGTAAAGCTGATTCTCAAGCCAGCAGAAGGCAGCAGTGACTGCCTCCACCTCCATTCTCAAACTAGACATTGTGAAATCATATGCCAGGCTTTGCTGCACCAAGCGACGTCCATTTGCCTTTGCTATAAACCCCCTTGCACTTCATCTGCCCCTCAACACAGAGCCGCCATCTCTATATACAGTCACATCACTTGGGCAGGAATTGTCATGAATCATTTGTTGAACTTCTTATTCTGCAGTACCAACTGGCCAGTCCCTGCACTCACATCCCAATGGCTTAGACATTAGTAAGCCAGGGTGCCAGGTATGATCCCAGCTGAAAACAATTTGTCTTGAGTTGATTTTGACAGTGGTACCGAGAGCTGACCAATCAGAAAAGCAACGGTAAACTACTGTGAGCAAAATTTGTCTAGAAAAACCACACCAGCCAAACAATTGATGGGGTTGGTTCTGCAATGTCCTGCAAAGGATACACAACTAACTTATCATGTATAATTCAAAACTAGAGCTTCATTCAGCGTGTCTTTGCTTTCTTCTTATTCTGCTATTTTTCCCCAATCAAGTGAAGGCCCTCGACTGACACACGTGCAAAATGCAGTTCCCCACCTTTTTTCCCCCCACTTCACTGCAGTTACCTTCTGCATATATTTTTTTGACCTAGTTACATTATCAAGTTCTCAACTAGTGTTCTATCCACTATCAGCATTTTTTTTTTCCCCCTCCTGATTCGATGGAATGTCTGAATCTCTCCCCAGCTCTCTTGTACAAAACACAAACATATGGCACAATAATTATGATTTCAGGGTTTAAAGGCTATAATTTCCTTGGAAGCAAAGGCAGCAGATGCTGACCGCAACACCACTAAAGTGCTAACTGGTCTACAGAATAATGGGTCTTTCACCATATGCCTGATCTGCTAATATCATTAAGGCCCCTTTTACTTTTTTTAAAAATAATAATGATTGTAAGAAAATCAAAGAAACATCTCAAAGAATACCCACAGAAACTTCAACACTTACTTTTGTTTCTTCCTCTCCTTTGACTTGCTATAGTCAGGACCTGCCCAGTTTCCCCAACCTGGCAGTTTGGTGTCATGCTTGGGCAGATTTTTGTCCTCAGCATCAGCTTTCTCAGTTAGAAATTGTTCAACAAGATCTTCATCATTAAACAGCTCCTCCATCGTAACCTTCATTTTAACATCACTATCGTTTTCATCAACATCTTTATCATCCAGTATTTTGTCTTCAACAGGCTGGAGTGTGACTTCCACCACTGCTTTTTCTTTTGATTCTGAATTTCTGTTTTTTCTAGGGCCTTCTTTGTTGGTCTCAGACACCAGTTGACTGTGAACAAATGTCCTGTTGACATCCAACCAGCCACATGCTTTTCTGTTCACAGCTTTCAAAAATTCCAGCTGGCTTACTCTGTATTCTGTCTTTTTTGCATCATCATTTTCACCTGCGTCATTGCTCGCAACTGTGTTTTCATTCTTGTCTGCCTCATTGGTGTTAGTGTCTCCATTGTCATCCTCGCAACTGCTAACTTCCTGCTGTTTTTTAGTAAGCTCACGACTCTTTTGCAACATTTCTTGAAAAGCTTCTCTTGTCTGGGAATGTTTAAAAAAAAATGCATGAAACATGGACACATACTTGTTTATTGCGTGCTGAAATCGTTAACTGGTTGAGGCAAGCAAACAGATGTTTCACAGTAAAGGCTGTCTCACAGCAGTAAATGCTGTTGAAGTTTGAAGTGTCAGGCCTTCACACACATTCTAGGCAAAAGCTGATAAGGTGGGGTGCCCCCCCCCCCCTGTCTGTCCTTCAGACAATTCACAAATTCTTGTAAAAATAATTTGCTGTTTGGAAACAATTCTGCTCCTTCTTCTTTTCTATCCCCCAATGGAGCATAGGCCCTCAACCAACTCACACCAAGTCGTTCTATCCTTCGCTTTTACATGGAGCTCTCCCCATCTTTCTAACTTCATTCTCCAGCTCTCTTCTCCATGTGTTTTTGGCCTTCCTTTATTCCTATGCCCCTGTGGGTTCCAATGCAAAGACATTCTAGTTATGCTGTTCTCCTGTTTTCTCAGTGTGTGTCCTATCCAACGCCAGCATCTTTTGCAAACCTCTTGGTCCGCTGGAGCCTGTTTAGTTCTCTCCCAAAGCTCTACATTAGTTATGCTATCATACCATTTAATTTCCTCTATTCTGCGAAGGCGCCAGTTAATTAATGTCTGTAATTTATTAGTAATTGCCTTAGTAGTTCTCGATGTTTCCGCCCCATACAAAAGTACGGGGCGGAAACATTCTGCTACTACTGAGGATTAAACCCGGCTTACCATCACGTACAGACTACAAGGTATTTAAACCAGTTAGCTGTGGTTTAGTATGGTGTTAGAAAGCACATTACATTAAACTGTATTTAACTAAGTTAAGTATGATGCAAGAAAGCAGATTACTGTTAAGTGCTTTCAACTTGAGTTGAGAATGGTGCGAGAAAGCATGCAACGGTTAACTGTGTTTAACCGTATGGCACCAGAAAGCACATAACTGTCAACTGTTTCTTCATGAAAATGTGTTGTGCCTGTTCACAGCACAGCTGAGATAACTGCACCTTTAATTACAAAATCTAAAAAAAAAAAAAACTGGCATCCTGTGTTAATTTTTTTCTAAAATACCTGAATGGTCATGACTTATGTTTTTAGTGTTACTAGGGGCAAAGGATTAACCCCCCCCCCCCCCCCCCCCAAATCGCTGCACCAGTATTAGCTGTGTTTAATCAAGTTAACTCTGGCCTGAGATAGTACACTGTAATGAACTCTGGCCTGAGATAGTACACTGTAATGAACTCTGGCCTGAGATAGTACACTGTAATGAACTCTGGCATGAGATAGTACACTGTAATGAACTCTGGCATGAGATAGTACACTGTAATGAACTCTGGCCTGAGATAGTACACTGTAATGAACTCTGGCCTGAGATAGTACACTGTAATGAACTCTGGCCTGAGATAGTACACTGTAATGAACTCTGGCCTGAGATAGTACACTGTTATGAACTCTGACCTGAGATAGTACACTGTAATGAACTCTGGCCTGAGATAGTACACTGTAATGAACTCTGGCCTGAGATAGTACACTGTAATGAACTCTGGCCTGAGATAATACACTGTAATGAACTCTGGCCTGAGATAGTACACTGTAATGAACTCTGGCCTGAGATAGTACACTGTAATGACTGCCTCTTTCTAGTTTTTGTGAAAAGTCATGGTCTTTAAAAAAAAATGTAGATGACTTTATAACATGGACAAGCTGCCTTTATCTCTGTGTTTACAACTTTTGGGGACAGTATGGGGTAAAAGTGGTCTTCAACTTGAGGAATCAGGACATCATGGCTGGAGCAGTGGCTGCAGACAGCACATGCTAGAATTTGTATTGTGGTCCAGACAAAAATATTAACATCCTTCTTTTTGGGAATTTAAACCTGGTACATTGTAGTTTATAGCCACGCTGCAATTTTTGTGTTTTATCACAACACATGCATTATCAGCAAAACCCTCATTAGTCCCTTTTATGACATGTTTGTTAGGGACCCCTCTCCCTCAAGGGGCTTCAAAACTTGAAGCAATACATTTTTAGAATAGTCTAAGTTAGAATAACTCCTTGCTATAGACAGAGTTAAAGTGATATATGGTAAAGTAACATTCGCCTGTTACTGACAAAATGTAACTGGTCCCAAGGAGGTTTACCTACACAGTTACAGGAAGTTCGACGAAAACAAAGTGATACACTCCAAAACAATTCATTACCTTATCGTCAAACTTGCTGTATGCCTTATGCATTCGTGAGAACTTGCCGCCACCTTTGTGCTTCAGGGTAAAACGTTCCTGCAGGGATGAGAAATATAAGTCATTTGCATGTCTTTTATGAGAATTGCAAATAACTAGTTTTTAAAGCAGTCATTTAGGACTCTGTAGTTTGTCACTGCCTTCTAAGCGGTTAAATGCCAATATAGTGAAAATCAATGCAAAGTCGTGTGCTGGCCAGTAGGTATGAGTTTGCATTTATACTGAGGCAGAGTAATAATTAAAAAGAAAAACCTGTAACTTGTAGTGTAAGACTGATTCAAAGAAGTACTGACATGTAATACTTGATTAGGAGAAAGAAATTAAAGTTGGCAATAGTATTACTACTACTAATGCAATTGGTGGCTGCTACAGTGACAGCACTGGAATGCAGTGACTTCAATAATTGTTAGGGCTCAGGAAGGATACTGAAGCATTAGAGCATATCTGTGCAGAAGAAGCATAAAACAATCTTGTCACTTAGGGATTGTAGAGCAAGCAGGGAGACAAGACTCTTAAACATGTGCTGTGCCCTGACCACTGCTCCTGGACGAGGTTGAGGATCTGCGAGGTTGAGGATCTGACCCAAGGGAACTATATTGTAATTCACACTGCCCTGACCACTGCTCCTGACTGAGGTTGAGGATGTGACCCAAAGGGAACTACACTGCCCTGACCACTGCTGAGGATGTGACCCAAAGGGAACTACACTGCCCTGACCACTGCTCCTGACTGAGGCTGAGGATGTGACCCAAAGGGAACTACACTGCCCTGACCACTGCTCCTGGCTGATGTTGAAGATCTGACCCAAAGGAACTACACTGTAAGTCACACTGCCCTGTTTGTGATCCAGACAGCATCAAAGTTTAGCATTGCTGGTGTCAAACACAGAAGTACACTGACTAGCATGCAAGCTGAATCAATAAGCAGAAGGTGGGGATTTCAAAATCTGACATAGGCTCCCAGGTTTAAAAGAAATGTTCTGGGAAGAAAAGGCCACCACTGTGATATTAGGCACATCACACAATAATACTGACTGGTCAATAAAAATGTGGGGCAAGCATCATGTACACAATATGGTGTCAAGGTGTGGAAATAAGGTCCTCTACATAAATTACTTAACTCAGTATCACCACCGACTATCAAGGATATATAAGTAAGCCAAGTTGCTAGGATAAACAGGGTTTACAGCCAGTTTTTCAAGGCTCTCAAAATGTTAACAGGCATTTTCAATTCCACACACAAAAATAAGAGCAAGTTAATGAATGATCATAATCAATATTAACGTCAGCAAAACAGAATGCATTCTAGTTTCCACACACATAAA